ACTCTGTTACCCAGCTACCGCCTACCTCGCGATACTTTATGTTGCGTGTGTTTTGTGAGACAGGAGTCCCACTTTTCCCAGGCTAGAGTGGAGTGCATGCAAGCCGTAGCTCACAGCAGCCTAACTCCGGGCTCAAGGTCCTACTGCCTCAGGCCCCGAGTAGGCTGGACGTACGAAGCATGTGCCACCGGAGCCCGGCTAATGTTTGTAATATATTTTTGGTGCAAAATTCTTATATATAGGTAGAGACGGTCCGCTCTGCTCGGGCTGTTTCGAACTTTGACTCGACAGCCCGCCACTGCCTCCCAGAGCTAGTTACAGCCTGAGCCACCACACCCGCCTGTCTTTTTTTTTTTTTTTTAAGAGACAGATCTTGCTGTAGTTGCCCAGGCAGAGTTGCGTACCATTACAGCTCACTGCAACCTCAAACTCCTGGGCTCAAGCAATCCTCCCACCTCAGCCTGCCAAGTACCTGGGACTACAGGTGAGTGCCACCACTCTCCGCTAATTTTTAAAAGGTTTTTGTAGAGACAGAGTCTTGGTATGTTGCCCAGGCTGGTCTCCAACTCCTGGCCTCTAGTAATACTCCTGCTTGGCCTCCCAAAATGCTGGGATTGGAGTCACAGGAGTGAGCCACTGTGCCCAGCCAGTAGTCTTTTTTTTACTTGGGGAAGGAAGTTTCTTCCTGTGAGCCCCATGTTCACTAGGCCTGAGAACCTGCTCAGTGTTCCAAGGATATTATCTCAGCACCAGAATTCCTTCCAGTGAATAGCAAAAAAGATGCAATATCAATGCTTATGCTTATCATTTTGTTAGCTATTCTCCTGGTAGTTTGAAATCTAAAAAGGAGAGAGGAACATCACCTTTGTTTAGCCCACCCAAAAACCAATATTTCCCTTTCTCCTGGAATATTACGCATCTCAAAGGAGGCTCACACTCATTTGTTCTTGGACTTCAAATTATTTCTGTAAATCATTTAAAAATAATATGTGCAGGCCAGACACGGTAGCTAACGCCTGTAATCCTAGCACTCTGGGAGGCTGAGGCAGGTGGATTGTTTGAGCTCAGGAGTTCGAGACCAGCCTGAGCAAGAGTGAGACACTGTCTCTACTAAAAAAATAGAAAGAAATTAGCTGGACAACTAAAAATATATAGAAAAAAAATTAGCCAGGCATGGTGGCGCATGCCTGTAGTCCCAGCTACTCGGGAGGCTGAGGCAAGAGGATCACTTAAGCCTAAAAGTTTGAGGTTCCTGTGAGCTAGGCTGATGCCATGGCACTCTAGCCCGGGCAACGGAGTGAGAATCTGTCTCAAATAATAATAATAATATGTGCAGCACACAATCATAACAACCAGATAAACCTCCAGTTTCCCACCCCAGTTGGAAGCAAAGAAGTGGAAGGGACCCTATGAAGTGCCTCTAACAATGCATACCTCATTGAAATTGTCAGAAGTAAAAACCCCGGGTCTATCATACCAAAGTCAAGAGTTGTGCCATAGAAGAAGAGTGGACTCAAGCCCCAAGTAGAAGGGCCAGCCTTCAGGCAATCTGAAGTGTCTGTTTAAGGAAAAGGGAAAAATGAAAATTTTGATATGTTTGCTAAGCTTTCATTGGTTATTTGTTCTGTCTATAGGATGGAGAGACAGCTCCTTAGTGAGGATCTCTCTGTGCTATCACCTCTTCTGTTGATCTGTCTTGCTGCTGGATTTGTTATGCTAAACTTTGTTCGGTGCAAGCATTTCTGTATATGATTTCTGAATTTGCAGAAGCCGGTCCCTCAGATTACCTACAGGGTGCAACTAATAGCTCTGCACTCAGAAGTTCCATGTTTCTTTTCTAACCCAGCCCTATATCAGACATTGTGTGCAAGGTGACAGTCCATTTCGCCTTGTCAATCCTCACTGTTATAGTTGTTGCTTATGGTTTTTTTCTGTCTGGTAATCTGTTGTTGTAAATGTACTGTCAAAGCATTGCAATGCCATACGTAAGTTTAAGCCTTTCATCTAAAACATCTTGATGGCTCACCCCTATAATCTTAGCACTCTGGGAGGCTGAGGCAGGAGGATTGCTTGAGCTCAGGAGTTCCAGACCAGCCTGAGCAAGAGCAAGACCTTTGTCTACTAAAATTAGAAAAATTAATTGGGCATGGTGGTGGGCGCCCATACCCCCAGCTCCCTGGGAGGCTAAGGAAAAAGGATCGTTTGAGCCCAGTAGTTTGCGGTTGCAGTGAGGTACAATGAAAGCACTGCACTCTACCCAGGGCGACAGAGCAAGACACTTTCTCAAAAATAGTTTGATGACTATGTTGCCTCTCCTCCCATAGATGTGGAGGGGTAAAATTGACAGGGGGAAATATGTTACAGAGGAAGTGGCCTGGAAAAAAACTGGCAAAAAATGTTTTATGTCTCTTTAAAATATTCCCCACTCTTTTTGGAGACCTAGGACCTGCATCCCTGCCTCAGGCCAGCAGTCAGAGGGGCAGGGGAATGTCATTTGTTCTTTGTGCTACTGGAGATGGCTTAGTGGGACTGTGGGGCCTGTAGGTACCTGGATGGTACCTGTCACATCTCACACTACTGACTATGACACTCCTGCTTACCTCTTATAAGGACCCTTGTGATTATATTGGGCCCAAATGGGTAATTCAGGATAATCTCCTCATCTAAAGTTGATCACTTTCTAAGGCTAATCACACCTGCAAAGTCCCTTTTACCATAAAAAAACATATTTATAAATTCTGGGGATTAGGATATAGACTCTTTGGGGGGGCATTATTCAGACTATCACAGATGTCATTTGTTCTTTGTGCTATTGGAGATGGCTTAGTGGGACTGTGGGGCCTGTAGGTACCTGGATGGAAGTCCTGGGTGTGGTGGAGATAGGATGGAGATAGGACCATCAGAATCATCAACTGTAATTGAACAGAAATTGCCTGAAGCTGAATAGCCTCCCTTTAAAAGCTCTGTATTTCTATTATGAGGATGATGGCATCCCAGACAGGAGTCTCCATCCTCCTCATTTGCTGGCAAATTAATAAATCTCTCCTTCCTTCAACTCAAATAAATAAATAAAATGGACAAACAATAGAGAAAAAGCAATGAAACCAAAAGTCAGTTATTTTTTAAAATCAAGCTATACTGATAAACAAAGAAGAGGAAAAGCACAAATTATCGCAATCAAGAAAGAAAAAAGGAAAATCACTACAAATTCTACAGCTATTAAAAGGACAGTAAAGAAATATTATGAACATCTTTGTGATAACAAATGTGATTACTTAAACATTATGAACAGATTTCTTGAAAACTTCAAATTTCCAAAATGTACATGATAAGAAATGGAATATCTGAATAGCTATAGAAACTGAAATTGTAATAAAAACTCTCAAAGAAACTCTAGGTCCACATGCTTAAAAAAGAAATAATATCAATTTTACACAAACATTCAGAGCATGAAAGAAAAGGGAATGCTTTCTGACTAATTTTATGAGGCCAGCATAACCAACTTTGTGAAGAAAACAGAAGATCTTTGTAAGTTTGGGTGGGCAAACACTTTTAAGAACATGCAAAACATTAGTCATAAAAAGATAAATAAATGGGACTTCATCAAAATTAAAATATTTTACTCTTCAAAAGCTGCTATTAAGAAGACTGAAATAAAATGCCCAGAGTCAGAGGAAATATTCACAAATCATTTATCTGATAAAGGAGTTACATCCAGAAGTATTAGAGAATTATGTCAATTAGGGAATCATTGTAAAATTCAGATGTTGTATTAGTTTCCAATTGCCTCTGTAGCAAATCACCTCAGATTTAGTGGCTTAAAACAACACAAAATTATCTTACAGTTCTGGAAGTCAGAAGTCTAAAATCAAGGTGTCAGCAGGGCTATGTTCCTTTGGGAGGCCAGAGGATGCCTGTATTCCTTGGCTTGTGGCCCCTTCCTTGGGTCACTTCGACCTCTTTCTTCCAATGTCACATCTCACACCACTGACTATGACACTCCTGCTTACCTCTTATAAGGACCGTTGTGATTATATTGGGCCCAAATGGGTAATTAAGGATAATCTCCCCATCTAAAGCTGATCACTTTCTAAGGCTAATCACACCTGCAAAGTTCCTTTTACCATGTAAAGAAACATATTTATAAATTCTGGGGATTAGGATATAGACTCTTTGGGGGGGGGCATTATTCAGATTATCACAGATGTCGTAAAGGCATTGTGGTTATGTAGGAAACTATCATTAATTCTAAGTGATATGGCATATTGAATTATTTAGGAGTGAAATTTCATGAGGTCTGTAAATTCCTTTTAAATACTTCAGTAAGAAAAAGAAGCAATTGTGACAAAATCTTAATAATTAAATCTGGGTAATATTAATAGGTGTGGTTATCAGATTCTTCTCTTTTTAATATTTGAAAATTTTCTTAATGTTTTAAGCTTAATGAAAAAATATGGAAATATCAGTTTAGGATTTAGAAAGCTCACGAACTAGATTATAAGTACACAAGAGTTGAAGCAACAGACCAGTTAGTTAGTCAGCTAGTTAGTTATTACAATAGCTCGACTTTTTAAAAAGAGTACGGTGCTTTGGGCCGGGGCGATGGCAGTGGACGTGGAGAAATGCGGTTGATGGATGTGCAATATATTTTGCAGGTCGAATCCATATGATTACTGAAGGTTTTTAGGTGGGTGAGAGTAAAGTGAGCGTCAAGGATAATAAAAATAAATTAATTTCATTAAGTGCCTGCTTTTCTGTCGCTATTCATACTTAATTCTCACAACATAATTTGCACTGGTATCTTACATGCAATCCATTTATTTCTCCAATTAAGGACTGGGAGTAGAGGCGGTGGTCCTTGCGTTCTGGCTTATGTGAAAAAAGAGCAGGGCCAGGAATTCCAAGAGGCAGAGTCGGGGAGGCGGGAAGTGCACGGGAGAGTTGGGTAGGCGTCTGCAGGGCCAGGTCCCTAGCGATTGGTGGAGCTGCCGAGCAGGGCTATGCAGATTCTGCCCGGCCAGCGGGTGGGAGGCTTCAGCCCGGCTCCGCCCCTCCGGCCGCGGTCGCTGCCTTAACTGAGACTTGGGCCAGCAGTGAGCTCCCAGCCGGGAGGATGCAGCGTCCGCTGCGGCCTGGGGGCCCGGGGGCGGGGGGCTCCAGCTGCTTGTCTGGTTCCTGCTTGTGAACAGTCGCCCAGGGGGCTGCCGCGACATTAGTGTTCACGGTCAGAAGGAAACCTGAGGGGTGCGGGCAGGACCACAGAGCGATCCTGAGGGAAGCGGGTCAGGTAGTTTCAAGGCTAGGAAACTCAGGAGGAAAGAAATGTGTTTGGGGGCTTGAGGAGACAAATGTAAACAGCGTCCCGCAGACAGAGGCGTAGGTCTGGGATGGGTCTGGGCATGTGGGGTCAGCACCGGAGAGAAGCGGGCTCGGGGAAGATCGAGAATTTGGGAGGAGCTCGGGAAGACAATAGGCAGAGGAAGGTGAAACCGGCCTCTGCGGCCACAGGAGAAGCAAGACCCGCCCAAGGGACAGAAAAGAGACGATGACCAGGGCTGAGTGGTGTGCAGGGGACCAGGAGCCCTGCTCCGCGGGTGTCGGGGTCCTGGCTCCAGGGAGAAGGCTGAGCAGAGACGAGCCAGGGCCTTGTCATAATCCCATAGAGGCTAGTGGCTGTGATCCGATTTCCAACAAGAAGGGGAAGGCTAGGTAAAACAGGATAGAGGGGGAACGGAGCCATCGTTCTTCCTCCGCTCCCGTCTGCGCCAATCCAGAGAGTTCCAGCGCTGACTCACGTCGGAACCGTCAGAGACGGACTGCGCAGACTCGAGAATTCGGGCGCAGAGAGCATGGGAAAGACAGCGCAAACTCCTCGGCTGACGCCCACGCTCCCCGCCCGTTTCTTGGGTTTAGAGACCAAGAACTGTGAGAGGCCTGGTTGCGACGAGAGGAGGTGGGTGGGGGAGGACCGCCAAGCTTCATGGAGATACGTCTCCTACGTTACTGCCCGGCGCCGCCACCACGCCAGGCTTCAGCCACCTCTCAGCACCATGGACAGCGCCAAGCGCTCTGAGGTCGCGGCCGCGCGTGTGCAGGTCACCGCTCTTCCCCACCGGCCCAGGAGGCGCTGTCTCAGGGGACCAGCTCCCTCCCCAAAGCTCTGTTTCTTCTCTGCAGGATGCTGGAAGTTCCACTACTTCTAAAGGCCAGGAAATTGTTAATAGGCATCTATTTGCTTGGGTAGGAGAATTTCCTTTTCTTAAGACCTGTCCAGAGTGACTCATGGTAATTCCACTGTGGAAAAAAGAGACTGTCCTCCAGCCCTATCCATCGATCTGGAAGAAGGAAGGTGTGTGTATCATTAGGGGTTATCTTCCCCCACTCCTGTTTTTCCCCTATGCACAGTTGGGCCAATTGTGGCTTTAGGAAAAAAATTGAGATCCTTGAACCGTATATATGCCAATACTTTCTCTTTTTAAGGATTCCAGGCCTCCTCCCTAACCACTCCTGGTTTCAAAGCCTTCCCTAAGATGCAGCTCACCTGCTTCCATATACCCCACCTATCCACCTGAATATTCTCCGCTCACCTGAACCTCCCCAGGAGGCTCTTACCTGGAAGTCAGTACCAAGGATGAATGAGGTTTAGGGGCTGAAAATATGGCAGGTGGTGATGGGAGAAGGGAAAGATGAAAGAAGGAGGACTTGAAGCGGGCAAAGGGCCCTGGTGCAGGGAACAGAGACTAGGAGATCCCAGGAGTGACAGTACAAGGAAGCTGATTTTCCAACAGGGATTTAGAAGGCTTCTGACCAAGCTCCTTGCTTGCACTATTATTTGCCCTTAGATGGTCAGAGCTGAGTGGGAGTGGGGCAGCTCTAGCCCCTCCAAGGATTTACCACCTCAGTCTTCCAGCATTTGCAAGTTGTACTCCAGCAGACTGTACCCCAAGGTAAGTAAAAGCTAGTAAACAAAGCTCGGGGCCTGATCAGATATGGGAGAGGCAGTGAGGGGCTATCTGACCCGAGGACAGGCTTTCTCTCCCCCCACGTGTCCATACTTTAAACTTTCTTGTCATTCTCACCTTATGGAGATGGGGATGAGACAGGAGCAGGGGTGGAGTCCTGATGAGTGGGCTACTTGCACTTGAACACATTAGAAGAGTCCAGCAGAGGCTTCTAGAAGAAGCCCCTGGAAGAGGCCAGCATCCGACTCCTTGGCACTAGTCCCAACTCCTGGCACTATCTGAGTTTTTCCAAAGCCAGGACTCCTTTAGTTCTCAGCCAGAAGAACACACACACACCTTAGCCTCTGAGCAGGAAGTAGAGAAAATTGTATGACAGAGGGGAGGAATGGAAGGTAGTGGAAAGTACACCAGGGACAGATGGCTGAGCCTGTTTTTAGAGTAGTTTCATGAATGAGTGTGTGGGGGCAGTGAGATAGGAAATCTGCCTTGAGTTCATATCACAACCACTAATGCTGAATATGTGCATAGGGCCTTCGAGCAGTAGTTCTCAAAGGCTTCCCTGGACCGGCAGCATCAGCATCACCAGGGAACTCATTAGAAATGATAATTCTCGAGCTTTGCCCCAGACCTACTGCATAAGAAACCATAGGAGTGGGAAACAGAAATGTGTGTTTTAACAAGCCTTTCAGGAGATTCCAATGCACATAAAGTCTGATAATCACTGCCTTACAGTTTTCTAAGCACTCCTTACATCCCTAAACTCATTTAATCCTCACAGCAACATCAAAGGTATTGACAAAGAGACTATAATCATAATCCTAATTGAATATTATATGGTAGGCACTGTGCTAGGCAATTTGTTTACATCTCATTTAATTCTCTCTAATAAGTGTGATTCCATATGTAATTGAAGGAGAGGTCGCTCTGGTCCCTAGAGTGAGTCAGACTGTCACAGGTGTCAACTCACACTATCCTTTTATCCTGCAGGTCTGTTCTGGAAGGGTGACATCACTCAGGATGTGAGAACAACAAAAAATGGAGCACATCAACCCCCAAGATCCATGTCTGAGGGATGAGAAGGCAGTTTTCCCACTAAAACCACTGGGATGAGGTATGCGAGGCCTGTGGTTGGTCCTGGCAGACAGAGCAGGGAAGGAACGGGTATTAAACCTGCAGGTAGGAGCTGCCAGGAGCACTATGAGGAGAATAACTCAGAGGTCCTGTGTGATGTCAGCAAGGAACAATTCTGAGATCCATTAGTGATTCTGCAAAGGGAAGGGAGTGGGCTTTAGCAAGCCTAGGCCCTGTTTGTTATCTCTGTCTCTTCTAGGGGCAAGCGAGAGGAGAAACTCCGACTCCTGTTCCCCAAGGTGAGACTCCGTGTCCTCTCAAGAATTGTGGATCCCTCACTTTGCATCCCTTCACTTCCCTCTGGGATCCTCCCACCCTTTTCTGCCCCCTTCTTGACTCTTGGCTTCCCTCTTCACAGAGCCCAGTGGCCAAGGTGAGCAGGGATCGGTGCTCTACCTCCAGAGTGGTTTCAAAGGCCCTGAAGTGAGAGGTGGGCAACCCTGTCAAGGTGAGGGGCTCACTGTTCCTAGGGAGGTTGGAATCACCAGGGGTCTGTTTAAATGAAGGAGGCAGGGAAGAAGGTAATGGGTGTTGGGGTGATAACGGGTAAGCTGAAGAAAAGATCTTTCCTCTTCCAATCAAAGAGCACCCCACTTTCCTGTGTCTCTCATAGCCTACCTATGAGTACCTATATGAGAGGTGCTGGGAGCCTCTAAGGAAGAAATGATCTACATGGTCATGCATGGACATTGAGTTTAAAATAAGCATTGAAAGGTGCAGAGTTTTCAAAATTAGATAAAATGTCTTCCTTCTCACCATTTACTCACTTGTCTATGGCAAGCGATAGCAAGGCTCTCTTGGATAAATGGAAGACATAGCCCAGATGTCCTCATGTTCAGCCTCCTCCTTGCTCTATTCTGTGGCCTGGACAAGGCTCTGAGGCATCTCCTTGGGAATCTTTGAACTCTGCAGAATACAGTTTGGAAATCACCCACGTAGCCCACCTAGTACCCTCACCTATCTTTATAGATGAGAAATTGAGGCCCAGGCTGGTCATGAGACTTACTCAAGGCTGCATAGTGGGTTCATGGCAGAGCCAAGCCTGGACCCAGGTCTCCTGATTTTCAGCTCTTTCTCCTGCACAGCCCATGCCCTTCCTCTCAAGAACTGCAGTGGGGATTGGGCAGTTGCAAACATCAGACTCCTCCACATTGAAAACAGTCCTTTTTGTGTGTGTTTGGGGAGAGGTGGGATTAAGACCTAAATTATAAGAAGGTGGCAGCCAGAGGAAGATATAAAGGAAGGGCATCCTAGGCAGACAGCATTGCAACAATTGCCCTGAGATAAGAGTACCACAGCATGTTAGAGGAACAGACAGAAAAGTCAGTGGTAGAAAATGGGATTGGAGAAGTAGCCCAGGACCGACCCTACAGGGGCTCACAGTTTATGGCAAATAGTTTGAATTTTATTCTAAGTGCAATGGGAAGTTAACTAGGAAATTTTAAGGAAGGGAATGTCACAATGTGATATATGATTTTAAAAGGCCCCCCTAGTGATGGGAAATGAATTGTGAGAAGAGCAGGAGTGAAAACTGAGAGGATGTAAGGAGACAACCATCCTGGTGCAGGGAGACCAAGGTGGCTGGGACTCCAGTGGTGGCAGGAAGCTGAGCACCCCCAGCTGGCTGCACTCCCCACCTGAGGGCAGCCTGTGCCTCAGGGGGTCCCGGATCCTCATGCTCTCCAAGGAAACGGGTTCTCATTCCCATAATCTGGCAGCCCAGCTTCCTAAACCTGGATTGGTTGCCGGGCAACATTATCAGAGCCAAGTGACAGAGACCTTCCTGTGGGGGACTGGTTGCCAGGGCACTCTGGGAATGCAAACAAGGAGCAGCCATCCTTCTCCAGCCTCAAGCCTAAGGGAAAATCATGGAGAGAGGGGACCTCCACACGGAAGCCAAGGGTCAGGCTCTCAACCAGTGGGCTGAGTCACTGTGTTGAAGGCTTACTCAGATCAGGCTGTTAGTGAAGTATTTGGGGAAGGAGGGGCCACCTCCCCAAATCCAGGCTCTAAATCTCTTTCTTCTTGTTTTAGGGCTTCTTTGGTCCATTTCCCACCTTGGGCCACAACCTTGTTGCTGATTGAGACTCACTGGAACCCTCCCAGCCCCAGTGCCCTTCCCTCTCCCCTTCAGAGGGGCGGTCCTTGGATGATGCAAATCTCAATCATTAAAGGAGACTTTGATGCAGACACTTTCTGTGAGCTTGTCTTGAGGCAGGGTGGGTGGACTTTGAGCTTGGCCAGAGCCTGCAAGGGAGAGAGGTGGGACCAGAGCAGGGGGTGGGGATGAAGAGAGCATAGCTCTCTGGTGGAAGGAGGATTTCTGTTTTGTTTTCTTTCCACTGACCATTTCTGAAGTGGGGAAAGTGAGGATGGAACCACAGCTGGAATGGCAGCTTTCCCCACTCACGCCCCAGCCACGTTGTGTGGTGTAGTGGCCCATCCTTCACTTTATGGGACAGTATACTCCATATTTGCCTGGAGTCATTTCTTTCAACCCCCAAGCCAGACAGGCCTGGCCCTGTTATTTTATGAGGGTCACCACCTCCAGCATTGTAGCCCCCTGCCAGGCTCTCCCACCCATCCTGCCCCAAGAACAAACAGAGCAGTGCTGAGGTCAAAGGGCACACATGTTTAATATTTTGATGGTTCTTGCTGGTTTGTTCTTGCTAGCTTAAAATCTTAAAAGGGTGTTGGTAATCTAACCACCCATACTCAAAACAAACAAACACCAGAATGCCCTATTTTCGGAGCTCTATGTCTTAAAGCACTTACACACTCATTAGATATTCACAGGTGTTAGCAAATGGCCAGGTATCAAGGTTGGGTTTCTCTACAGAATTGGGATTTGGCTATACCACATCTCACCCATTTAAGCAACCAGAGAATTTAAGTAACTAATTCTTGATAACACAGATTCTCAGACATGCTGCTGTGCTTGCCTTCTCTCCTTTACTTGTGTTCGAGGACATAGCTAAAACCAACACCAGACCAGTCGTGTTCATTTGTATCTAGTACTCATCAAATGGATTAGCCCCTGCCGCTCACCCACATTGCCCTCTTACACCTTTCTTGCTTATTCATTCTCAAACGTTTGTGTAATCCTGTGCTTTTCCATGCCTGGCATCCATGAATATATTTGGTTCCTTCCCTCGAGAGTAGTCAGGGACGTAAGCCATACATCCCATAGCTTCATCCAGATGTTCACAGGGAGCGAGTGCAGCGGCTGCCCCACCCCCCATATCTCCTGGCCTGTATCTCCTTTTGCTCCCAGCTGCAGTTGGACAGTTCCTGCACCCATCGACACCTTCCCACCTCAAGCCCTGGGATTCTCTGCTTCTCATCCTGCAGAGTTTCTGGAATGCCAGGGTCTTGCCTACCTATGCTCCAAACAGCCCTGAAGTGCCTGGGATTTAACACCACCAGAGACAACTCTCAACCACTTAAGAAATGAGTTTAGCGCTAAAATATCCCAGATTCCTCTAGCCCTTAGCGGACAATTCTAAAGAATGTTCAATGTGATTCTTCAGAGGAATTCTGAGGAGTGTTCAATATGGATTCCCCAGTGCGATTCACAGTTGCCCACAGTGGTGACCTATTCAACCAAACACTTAATGTTATTGACTTTTCTTCCTTCTTTAGCCACTTTCCCTGTCCCTCATTTGTGATTTCTGGGATCATCTCCCATGCAAACTACCTGCCCCCAAGTTCTTGCCTAAGTCTGCCCCTGGGCCAACCCAGACTAAGCCTACTATGTGCTAGACACTCTTCTAGGCCCTGGCAATATAGTTGTGAGCAAGACAAAGTGTCCGCTGCCATGGATTTGGTTATAAGTCATCTACTAACCACCTGTTTATGGGGGAATATCCAAGCAATTTATCTGGCCCACAGAGCATTCAAGTTCTTGTCTCAGCTACTTTTTCAGAGCTGTGGTGCTCCCCCCATTCTGCCACCTTATTTGCTGTAGCAGTTGTCTCTGTTTGCATTTCCCCAAACATGTCCAGCTGCCTTGTGCTCCTGAGCCTGGGTCTAGGCAATTCCCTTTCCATGCAAGTGCCCCATTCTCAACACACCTTGTTCTGGCCTGGGGCCAAGAAGCAAACTCCAGGAATAAGGATAAAATGGAAGTAAATCAACCCTTGCTCAGACTGCAGCATGGCCTTGAAATTGGATTAAGGTTATATCTGCTTGCAGGTGCTTTTAGTCACCCACAGATGTAAATGAGAATGCTCTAAGACCTTAAATTATTTCTACAAATCATTTTTCAAGTACTATGCCCTACACAATAGGTAACAGAATCAGACCCACAGTGATTCCAATGGTTCCAGTACAAAACAACTGTGCTTACTACATTCAAGCATATAAAATGCAAGCTATAATTTTTGACAGGAAACTAGAAACCACAGAAAGTAATGGAGAAGATTTTTTAAAGAACCAAATATGTCAAAATACATGAGGCAACTTAAAGGAAAAATAGAAAAATTCACTTTATGGTTGAATATTTCAATGTCTCTCTTTCAGTAATTAATAAATGAAGCAGGTCGGGCGCGGTGGCTCATGCCTGTAATCCTAGCACTCTGGGAGGCCGAGGCGGGCGGATTGCTCAAGGTCAGGAGTTCAAAACCAGGCTGAGCGAGACCCCGTCTCTACCATAAAAATAGAAATTAATTGCCCAACTAATATATATAATATAAAAATCAGCCGGGCATGGTGGCTCGTGCCTGTAGTCCCAGCTACTCGGGAGGCTGGGGCAGGAGGATCACTTGAGCCCAGGAGTTTGAGGTTGCTGTGAGCTAGGCTGACACCACGGCACTCACTCTAGCCTAGGCAAAAAAAAAAAAAAAAAAAATGAAGCAGGCAGAAGACCAGTAAGTCTATAGATGACCTGAACAGAACTATCAGTCAATTTGTAATCCCAGCACTTTGGGAGGCAGAGGCAAGAAGATTGCTTGAGGCCAGGAGTTCAAGACCAATCCAGGCAACATAGCAAGATCTCCATCTCTACAAAACAATAGAACCACAGGTGGCACGTGTGTATAGTCATAGCTACTTTGGAGGCTAAAGCAGGAGGATCACTGGAGTCCAGGAGTTTGAGATTACAGTGAGGTATGGCCACTGCACTTTAGCCTGGGTGACAGAGGGAGACTCTTTCTCTACAAAATAGATAAATAAAATATACCATCCAACAACAGCAAAATACACATTCTTCTCAAACTCACATGGAACTTTTGCCAAAATAGATCACCATAAAACACATCTTTACAAATTTAAAAGAATAGAAATTATATAAAGAATATTCTCAGATCACAATAGAATTAAACTAAAAGTCGATAGTGGAAAGATAGCTGGAAAATCTCTTAATGTCTTTAAAATAACACCGTATTAAAAAACCCATAATGGGTCAAAGAAGTTTCAAGAGAAATTTTAAAATAAATCACTTTAAACAAAAATGAAAATATAACTTATCACAATTTGTGGGATGCAGTGAAAGCAGTGCTTTAGGGGGAATTTATAGTGATGAGTATATTTATTAGAAAATAAGAATGATCTAAAATCAGGAAACTAAGTTTACACTTTAGGAAACTAATGAAAGAAGAGCAATTTAAACCTAAAGCAAGTAGAAGAAAATGAATAATAAAAATTAGGTCATAAACTAATAAAATTGAAGACAGGAAAATAATAAAGAAAACCCCATGAAACTCTAAAGCTGGCTCTTATAAAAGAAAAGGAATCAAATGGATTTTCTAAAATTTAAAAATACAAAAAATAAATTTTTTTGAGACAGGATTTGGCTCTGTTGCTGGGCCATCATAGCTCACCGCAGCCTCCAACTTCCAGGCTCAAGTGATCCTCCCAGGCATGCTAGAGTGCACCACCATGCCTGGCTAATTTTTTTTTTAGAGGCTGGAGGGACCCACTATGTTGTCCAGGCTGTTTTCATACTCCTAGCCTCAAAGAATCCACCCACCTCAGCCTCCCAAAGCACTGGGATTACAGTCGTGAGTCACTGCACTCACCTAAGAAAAAGATTTTTAAAAACCCAATTTAAAAAATGGGCAAGAGACTTGAAGAGACACTTCAAAAATGATCTCCAGTTGGTCTATAAACTTATTAAAAGGTATTCAACATCATGAGTCATTAAGGAAATGCAAATTAAAACAAAATACCATTACACCCCAACAGAATTGCTACACTTAAAAAAATTTTACAATCTACTGGCAACAATACGGACCACCTGAAGCTTTCATATAATGCTGGTCTGAGCATAAATTGGTGCAATTGATTTAGAAAACAGGTTGATATCAGCAATTAAAGTTGAACCTACATATACCTACTATGGCTCATCAATTCCACTCCCAAGTGTATAGCCATTCTTAAATGTTAACATGCATTAGAAACATCTGGAGGCATTGATAAAAGCAGATTACTGAAAACCAGTTTCAGAACTGCTGCTTCAGTAGTTCTGGAACCTGAGAATTGTATTTCTAAGAAATTCTCAGATGATATTGATGCTGCTGGTCCAGGGACCACACTTTGTGAACCACTGGCTTAGAGAAACGCATACATATGTACATAGGAGACATATAGAAGAATGTTCATAATAGCAGTATACATAATAATCCCAAACTGGAAACAACAGTGAAAATGTCCCAACATTAATAAATGTCTATCAGCAGTGAAATGTGTAGATAAATTATAGCATATTTGTACAATAAAATACTACAGCAATAAAGACAAAGATGCCCGATAAAGACAAGATGAAAAAATAGAAGAAAAAAGTAAAATAAAAAAAGAGAAATAAACTACAGCTTCACAAAGCCAAACAAAAACAGAATACCTATTATATTAGATCATTAAATATGAAATGTCCGATTTCAAATCGAAAGTTTAGCTTATTATATCTCAAACAAGAAGCAGTACAATTAATCAAAGTATGTGCCTACTTAGCACTGTTAGCACAGTGTTGCAATCTTAACAGTAGTTTGTTTATGCCAGCAGCAAAGAAGCTTAGAGAGCAAGTGGCAATGAAATTGCAAAAGGCATTTTCCACAGCTTGTTAAGAATTGAATATTTTTCCTTGCAAGAAGTAGTCCAGGCCGGGCACGGTGGCTCACGCCTGTAATCCTAGCACTCTGAGAGGCCGAGGCAGGCAGATTGCTCGAGGTCAGGAGTTCGAAACCAGCCTGA